TCTGTCCCTCATTCCTCCTCAGTCGGCCCTCTTTTGGTCTGATGTACAAATATCTATGACAAAGTATTATTTAACTACCAAAGTGTTATTCTTCACTAACACCAGCATCCTATCTCTCAATTATCTTGTTTGCTATTTTGAAAAGCAAATACAAAAGGTGGGAAATAACAATTCTGGGTTTAATCAATCATTTTGGGCATATACATTTTTAATGGACCGCATAACTGGGGGAGTGACAGCAGTGTATCCATTGCCTAAATACATTGTTCTAGACGTTGTCCCTCTTACTCCTCTCAGAAAGTTGGGAGGTATGGGTTACATATTATTGTGTACCGCCTAATGGGGTGTATTTATAAAAAAGTGACAAAACAACTCATCCTGTGACACTGTCATGTACATTCTTTCTGTGCAAAATGGGGTAAAAGGCCGAATGTAATTATAAGATTAGAGTGAATCGAGAAAATACCACATTATGGCCACTAGGTGGGGCTGAGGATCAATCAAAATAATGACCTGCTTGCTATGATATTCAGCTCCACCTAGTGTCCATAATGCAGTATTTTCCTGATTTGTTCTAATCTTGTGAATTGTTTTACATTTGACCTGGAAGAAAAATATACTAATAGCATTAATTTTTGCCCCATTCACACAGAACAAATGTACATGGCAGTTTTGTGGGATAAATGGCTTTGCCAATCATTTTAGGCATACTGTATACCCCTTTGTGTCCACAGTGCATAGCCCTAACAGTCCTTTTTAGGACTATTCATTTGTGTGTGTCAGCCAGAATTTCTGTTGCCATTTAGCTGCTGGATCCCCCTTGTAGTTTTTTTTTAATATATATATATATATATATATATATAGTGTAGTGACAGGGAGCAGCGTGTGCATATGTGAACATGTTCTGACCTTAAAATTGAGGCAGTTTGGCCACTGATAAAGTTAAGCATTCATCATGCCTGGGAGTCCTTGGAAAGCAGGTTTTGCATCTGTAGGACAAAATGGTGGTCATGCTGCACCAGACAGAGGCCAGACGGCCAGAACATGTGATGGTAGATGGTGATTTGCGGGGGCATAGTGCAAACCGAGTTTGCCGGAGTTTGCCCAAGCCCACACAAAACTGTGACTGATGCCCCCCAATCCCGACACACTCAACTGCAGCCGGGATATTCCCTGCAGCTACACATCACATAGGGGCAGGGAATGCCACTGCCACAACTGATTGGGCCGGTAGGGGTGTGTGTCTACTGTTGGTCTCATTAAAGCCAAAACAACAAGCGTAGGGATTGGTGGACATGGCTAACGTACAGTATTCACCAATCTCCTTGCAGGTTTTAATGAACCTGGAAGTGCTAAGTGCAGCATTGGTGTTGGGGGAAAAGGAAACAAGACTGTGCCAGAGTCCAAACTCGGAATAGAAGTGTGGACTTTGGCAAGAAAACAGTGCGTGTGCAAGGGACCTGTCAGCGTTGTAGCCTATACTCTAGAAAAGGTCAGAACTTAGAGATGGCTCTTGCATTTTCCTGCTACATTTATGACAGAATCCCTCAGCACAGGATTCATAGCACACAGGAGGAATGACTGAGACTTACATATGTTGTCAGCCGCCGGCATGGGTTGATCACTCAGATCTTTTCAGTCCTTTCAGGTGTATTACAGAATCCTTTCGGATGAAATTGCAATCCTTTTTAATAATATATATCAGGGGTAGACAAACTTTGACCCACCAGCTGTGGTGAAAGTACAATTCCCATCATGCATCTGCCTCTGGAAGTCATGCCTGTGGCTGTCAGAGTCTTGCAATGCCTAATGGGATTTGTAGTTTCCCCACAGCCGGAGGGTCAGGTTTAGCTATCCCCTGATACAGTATATAGGTTAGGGAGTTAAAGCAAGTAACATTTTCTTATATTTTCCAGGGCCTCCTGTGATGAAATATTTGTGTTCATTTCCCAGGTCTGTATGTCTGCTGCTGTCATTATAGGGGCGCTCGTGGGAGGTGAGCTCTCTGCTGGACAATTTTCTGTTATAGAGAAAGAAATGGTAACACCCCACATTGGGGAGGACAAAGCCAGGAACTACAGCAAATGTACCTTGCTTGGGTCCCAAAAAGCCATAAAAACCCAATGTGGATTCTAACTCAGCCCCTGTGCCCCACAGTCAAAAAATCTATTTCAATTGGAAAGGTTTTTTTAACAAAACAAATTGTACTTTATTGTAGTTTAGGGGAATTCAGACTGTTTGCAAGTGTGAGCTTGCAATTCACCTTTAGGCAAATGTTTAGATTTATTTTCAGAAAACAAAAAGGAAAAACAAAACAGTTTTTTTATATTCGTTGTGCAGCCAATTTAGCTTGCTCTTCAGTGTCTCTTAGCAGATGATACTTCATGTTGATGTGCTTGGTTCTAGGGTTGACTCTTTCTGATTGTGTCAGCTTTATGCATCCCTGGTTGTCTTCAAAGATTGGGATTGGGTTTGACATGTCTATGTCCATGTCCATTAAAAGCTATCAAATCCATATTGCTTCTTGATTAGATGCGGTGTGCGGGTGTTTACATGCAGCGGCTGTCACCTGAACATTAACTTGAATGGACGACAGCTGCTGCATGTAAATGCCAGATCAGGGATTCCTGCTGCAGGAAAACACAAGTTCCTGAGGCAGGAATCCCTAATCACACCTGAACTTACAAGGTGTAAATGGGGCCTTATAGTATATGTATTAGTGTGTGTATTTCTGGGTGTGGGGGGTTCGTGGAGTTCCAAGTGTGCATGTATATGTTTGTGAGTGTATTTCTGTGTGTGAGGGGGGTAGTAACTGTAGTGCACTGTATGGAAAAGGCTCACATAATCTATAGGCAAAAAAAAAAACCACACACACATATACTGACACTGCACACAGGCACCCATCAGGGAGGTACAGTCGATAACCATGTAAGCCCACTGACAGTGGAGGAGGCCTCCTACCGCCGGTACCATTCTGCATTAGAGTGTAAGCTCCTCTGTACAGACACTAATGTGACTGGCTCAGTGTTCGCTGTAGAGCCCTGTGGTAACTGTCAGAGCTATATAAATGTATAATAATAGTGTGAGACTGGGGGGACCACAATTACCAGCATGCCATTAATGGGGGGGAGGGGCTAGGTTTTTAGCTGCACAGTGCACACTCCCCACAGTACAAAGATCTTTAATTTATGGCATTGCACCCTGGATCACAATCTCTCTCCCTTCACCTCCCCCCTTCCCCTCAGAACTCCTGTGGCACCAAGAGAAGTGCTCTGACAGTTCACACTTCACAGACTATGTATTCACATGCCCTGCACCTCCACCTGGGAGCATGAGCAAGTGTTAAAAAACGATCGTCCTCTAAGAGCAGAGGGAGAACTCTGGCCCCCATGGGAACTCTGGCCCCCATGGGAGAAGAACATATGTCCAGCGCCCCCCCCAGTGAATTGTGTTTGAGACCCCTGTTTTACAGCTTGCAGCAAAACTCTCAGGTGTGAAGAGGGGCTTTGAAATGAATGCAATTTCTTGTGTTGAGGATTTCTTTGTCGCGCTTAGCTCTGAGCTTCAAAACGCCTAGGTGTGAAAAGGGAAAATATATATAATTTTATTTTTAATTTTTTTAAAGGTAAATAAAATAAATATAAAAACAGGCGTACGATTGAGCCACACGTTGAGTATTACAAAAGCAAAAAGTTTCAAGCAAGCCTGCAAAAAAATACACTGTGTAACTTTTAGGCCCCGTTCCCACTGCGCGATATGCAAATCGTGCGTTTGTCGCGCGATTTGCATATTGCGCGACATCGCGCAATTTGCATATTGCGCGACATCGCGTTCAAGCTTGCATTGAGCAAGCTTGAATCGCGGCTAAATCCGCTCCAAAAAGGGTCCTGCTGTAGCGACGCACGACCCGCGACAGCAGGACCCTTTGCCCCATTGAAATGCATTGGAGCGCGATATCGCGCGCTAATTTGCCGCGATATTGCGGGAATTACCGCGCGATAAATCGCTCAATGTGAACGGGGCTTTAGGGTTAAAAACAGAAACTGCTTCATCAAAGGCCCCTCTGTGTAGTGCAGTCCTAACTCTAATCTATGAAAACCTCCATCTTGGAGCATATATAGCGAAGGATGTTAGGTATCGCCACGCACGCAGGAGAACAATAATTCTGGAACCATAATTCACAGTTAACTCTAAAATGATGACCTGTAAAGGAAAGAACTAAAGAAGAACACCAGTTATGTAAAAAGTTAACCCTTGCAGTGGGGCTACCAGGGGACAGAATAAAGAAGAAATATTCACCTCTCGCTCCCTCCACTCTGGCTGTGGTATGTCCCTTGGTGTCTTCATGTCTGATACACCTGCATTAGACCACCGCAGCCCGGGGAAGAAGAGGCTGCGGGGACCTAGCACCCAAGAGGAAATGAAAATAGGGTATTTCTTTGTGATCTTTGTCCCCGTTGACAAAACAAGCACTTAACTCTTGCAGTGCTGGGGTAGCCCCACTGCAAGGGATCATTTTTTAAAATCATGGAGCTCTTCATTAACATGTGCAAAAAATGCAAAAACGGTTCTGGCAGCAAAGGGGTTACATTTTAGCTGCATATTTCTCACCATTACACCCTTGGCCTGCCACCAAAAAAA